CCCTCCAGAAGGAAGGACAGTCTCAGCATGAAATCAGAGATGATTTGAGGATCTACAGCTGAGTAAAACACATAAAAGATTTGTTAATAGTTAAGGTACTTGAATGCATTTTTAAGATTTAACTCCTGAGTTTAGTGCCACTTTAAAAGCTTACATATGGTTTAAATTAGATTTTCATCTTATGCTTTATTTTTAGTGGCCCGTTAAATGCTTATTTACAACTCATTAAAACAAAATGTTATTGCCATCAATAAATGTTATGCACTTTTAGTTCAAATGATGACTGAGTTGCTAAAAGCTTCACAGACCATAACATTCTAATTTTGGTAAAATGTATACATGATGCATGACTACAGCACAGTAACTATGCTGGAATGTACCAGCTTGTAACAGTTAATGCTCTTTAAAACATGTATTAAAATATTTATTTATTAAAACCTTATCTAGCTGAAATCTGTCTATGTTGGCACCGAGGCGGTATGGAAATAAAACAAAACCGTGCCAGTTGTTGTATTTATTTTGCATTTTGCTCCAAGTTTGTCCCTGGTGCTCTAGGACCATTAACAGGTCAGATGATCCATACATCTAGGCAGCTGCAAAGGTGTGTTCATTTGAGCTTATGCTAATTATTTCTCTTGTGATTCTGCCAAGAGCAGAATCTAAACGTAAAAAAAGATCAATAAACATTGAAAAAAAATAGTTTTCTTTACTTTCTGTTATAAAGCATATTAGATAAATAGTCTCTCTTCCCAAATTTTATACAAAATGTAGTCTATTGGGGGGAGTCATGTCATGCTCACAGAAGTCCTGCATCTGGTGGATCTCAGTTGTTTCTATTACGGCTTGTTCACTGCAGGCACATTGTTCTGAATTAATCAATGTAGGCTCAGTGCAAGGACATTGATAAGACAATTGTTGTTCCCCGTTAATACCATATAAATGCAACGCACAACAATGCTTTACGTCAAGTCAGGGTGTTGCAAAATGCTGTTGTGTATAGTGCCAAATAAAGTGTTGGTTTGTGTTAACTTTAAATAAAGTAAAAAAAGTAAACACTGTAATGTGTTCTAACAACGCATCACAGCTCATGTGCACAATAGAGGGCATGTTTTATGCACACCATAGCACTCGCCTGCTGGCCTTAATGTATGGCAAAACTGAAAAAAGCAGAATGAAGCTGAATGAAGCCTAAATGCAGTTGATCAATGTCAAATGACGCGCGTTTCCGAGGGCTACTTGGCTGTATCCCAATGGAAACGCGCAACAAAAACGTCCCAAAGTAGTACATGTACCTTTTCAGGCGTGGGCCGTTTTGTAGCGCGTTAGGGACGGGCTGAAATACGCCAAGGTGTGAACCAGACCCATTGAATACAATGGGATTTAGATGTTTGAGCGTTTTGTAGAGCGTTCGTCGAGCGTAGAACGCGCTACAAAACGTTCAGGTGTGAACGAGGCCTTAAGGAGTTAAAGTAATACTAGAGTCAAAAGGCTTTTACACTATTTGAAATGCTGACTAAATCATTTAGAATGGATGCTGCTCCTTGATGTTTAAAAGTTTTGGTTTCCTGCAGAATCAGCTGGTCCCCTGAGCACTGGCCCTGATTTCCCATTTTAGGATGGCTCCTGTGCCTTGCAGGGTCCTATGGAGCCACATTTGTGTGCGTTAGTAAGGTGTTTTGTCTCCACAAACAAACAGGCACAGCAAGGCAAACCAATCCCTGACCCCCATTCCCTCAGCTAGTGGATGGACAGCTACAGGGGGAAGTTCAGGGAAGTCGAGTGGAGAGAGAGATGGGGCTACCTGTTTGGAAACATGATGCCTGTAAGTGCTTGGGCGCAAATTTAAAGAAATACTTTTCTGGGCAATATATATTTGCTTGATCTGGATTCAATACTGTAAAAAGTTTGAGAGCTTAGTACTACGTTAAGAAACTCTGTCTTATAGGATATTCATTTATTTTGAATATAGTAAACACGGAACATAATTTATATAACTTTAGAAAGTAGCAGCTTGGAGTTTTTTACAACTCCAATAGTATCAGCTCACTTTTCTGTCAAAGCAATAGGCACTGCACATTAAAAGGGCCATAACAAAACAAGGTATTCTTACACCAACAACAACCAGAAATCCCATATGGAAGCATTGTGATGTATTTTGGCTGCAGAAGCCAAACTGAACGGACTGCATCACAACTGCATCTGGTGTGAACTAGCCCTGAGGGGAGTAGCTTGCCTTGCTGTTTCTGGAGAGACGCACACACAAGGGTGACTGCATTGCACTCTGCTTGAGAAAGGAGTCACTCTAGAACAGGAAGTCAGGACCAGAGTTAAGGAGAACAGCTGATTCTGCAGGAAACTAAAGTGTTTAAATATCATGAAGCAGCAATCATTGTCAGTCATTTCATCAGCTTTTGACATAGCTTAAACTCCCTTTGACTTTAATATCACTTTAATCTTCATCTGTCATCAAAATCTGCCAAATACTTGCAGCATAATATGGACAACACCTGGAATTCAAATTGTCCTTTGTAAACGCAACTCTTGTTCCAGTATTACTCTTGTTTTTTTTTTTTGCTGGAGCCCTCAAATTTTCTCCTTAGTTAGGTTCTCACTTCTGAATACCACAGCCAATGACCAAAAATGTAATTTTTTGTAATGTTTTAAATAGGCGGTTTTCAATATGATTGTGACTAAAAGGCTAATCCCACAAAAGAATTTGCAACCCGTATTATGGTTTTATTCCCTTTTATGTCTGGCAGTGCAGTTCAAGCAGTTAGAGGATGCAAGCTGCTTTCGTCCACTGTCAGCCTGTCATTGCTTTGTACAGGCTAACAACTGCAGCTGTCCGGAACAACCTGCGACTCCTGACGCAAGAATCTGCAGATTCTACCTGCAGAAATCCATAACAGGGGAAAAAAACTTAATTGGTTTATATGGAAAAATCCCCAGTTGCCCCCTTGGATCTACAACCTTTTACAGGCAATCTGACCTGTTACAGTGTAACAAAGTAGCCAATGTTTCTGCAGATACTTTGCTGTCATGGTAACCTGATGGATGTGTCTGAACCAGTGACCAGAAAGCCCACCCAACAATTGAAAATACTGGGCAAACTGTTTCTTGCTAAAAATCATTATTTTCGCAGGACATTATATTTGGATTCCTGTGATGGTCTCTCTCTGCTTTTTAAGAGGTTTACATTGCCCCTTGCACAAAGAACCACCTTCTATTGAAATTCTATTTTGAGGCCACCCCCAAATGGAAGTGCTACTGGTTGTGTGATGGGGCTGTAGGCTTTCGCTCTTTACTGAGTTATCAGACACTTGTTTCACCACGTAGAGGCCAAACTTGACATCTTGTTGCTCATCAAACATCTTTTAGATTCATGGGATACAGTTTGCAATCAAACGTTTTGCAGAGTTGCCTGCCACAGGCACACAGCTGGCAAACGCAACATTAAATTGCAACCAAAGGAGTCTCATTTTCTAAACATACGTTGTATGAGTAAATCTGGACCAAAACAAAAGGGGTGAGGTGCTCTGTTGACACTACTAAATGGTGATGCTGCTCTGTTCTGTGTCCCAACGCTGCTTTGGTAGGGGGACTTGACTTAGTCTTTTTTTGTTTATACATTGGGGGAAATTTATCAAAAGCGGGTCAGAATCTGGAGCAGTTGCCCATGGCAACCAATCAACTTCTGTCTTCAGTTTGTTCAGTTGAGATTTGGAAATAAAAGATAGATGCCGATTGGTTGCCATGCACAGCTACACCAGATTTTGTCTGCTCCAGCTTTGATAAATCTGCTGCAATGTGTTTTTGCAGGTATATTCTGCTCCTCATGTCCGACTTACAAACCTAGTTTGTCTCTAACTCTTAATAGGCCCACAACCACCACACAACGTGAAACGCAAAACAAATCTATAAAGAAAAAGAAAATAGGACAAACAAACTGAAGTTTTGAAGTGACGCTCCTAGGTTGGTAGAATTCTTCAGTTTGTTAATAGTAGTGGTCTAGATAGGCAGAGCCAGCTGTCACTCACGCAGCTGGGTGGATCCAGACATAATTGTCGGGATCCGTTCCGGCTGCGGCGTCTCAGTATACCGCGAGCTGTAGCTCGCGGTATACTGAGCTTTGGGTGACAGGAGGACGCTAGTTTGTGTCCTCCCGTTACCCTTTGGAGAACTATGGGGAAAAGCCCCAACACCATAGTTCTCCTTTAATCAACCATGCTTTTTTAGACTATTTATGGGAGCTAGATCATATTTTTGTACTTAATGTTGAGTATTGTCTTTTTATTTTGTTATATTTTAGTATCCAGGAAAGTTAAAAAAACACACAAAAAAACAACATTGGCCCAGTTACTTACATTTATATAGATTTAAAATCTGATTGAAATATGCCTTTTCTCAGTACAGTATGGCAGGTTTTTCCAAGAGATCCCTCTCTACAGTGAAAATCTAGTTAAAAGGGATCCAGATTAGACTTCTGGGCTGAAGACCAAATACATACCAGGACCTTGTCAGACAAACATTTGTGCAAGCACAAAAGCACTGTCAGCACCAGACGCAGGCCAAAATGAGTGCCAATGTGCTAGAATCGAGCACATGTTACCAGTACAACTTATTGTAATTTACAGAGATTACCACAGAGGATGGCAATTCCATCTGAAAAATCTTCTAATTCAACTGCAATGGAGAAAAAAAATGCAGGACTTTTAACTTTACTCTAAACACACTCATATACAAATGCAACACACAACAAACGTGTGACTCTTACAAAAAAGAAAAATTATTTAAAGCAAAAAAAGACAGCCAAGGAAAATAGGAATAAGCCAGGCAACAGCTATTAGCCAAAGCACACAATTCTGCTTTAATTTAAAACAGGAGCACTTGCTGTGTGTCATGTACAGCAAAAGGATTTAGCCAATATTTTTCATTAAACAATGCCAATGAAAGAATTTGGCAACATTATTATACGCAGAAGCTGCATGTACATACATTACCTGCTGCTCTATACAGTATCTTAGGTTCAAAGAAAATACACGGGTCTTTATCCTCAATGCAGGAAAGAAGCAAGCCCTTTGCTTGGATTGGACTTCTCGGTATGACCACCTGCAGTATAATAAACAGTATTACATCAATACATAGTGTGAAGGCTAATATGATAAATTGACAACATTTGTTCAGACTTGATGTAAGCTACACATGCTGTTTTAATCACTGCATATTATAAGACTTAGAGTGAACTTGTGTACAGCGAAAAGTTGGCAATTTACCAATAAGAATAAAAGGCAGACACACAAAGATGCTGGAAAATACCCTTAAAGTTGCAGAGTTCCTTGTTTTTGAGGCTCCCGTGGCACTCTGCAACTTAAACTTCTTCTCAGTATTCAGAGCCTTATGGTAAATATAAATCTGCCCATTCCTCCTTCACAGACCATTACTGTTGGTCCAAAGCTTGATGAGTGGCCTCACTAACCAATTGTGGGGTCCAGGCAGCCGACAGTCTGGGAGCTAGCATTTTCAGAAGGAAAGGGTTTCTTAAGTCTGCCATCTGTATAACAGAGCAGCTAGGGTTTGGGGGTTCCTAAGGAGCACTTCAAGTTGAGTGTAAGCCCAGGAATCACTATGTGTCTGGTATTCATTTTTGCTGGTAGTTTACCAGCTTTAACCCTGTAATGACCGAGGCCTCTTTTTTTTTTGCACCCATGTTATAATCCAACATTTTAGGCCTGACCCGATAGAATAAAATGTCAGCAGTTGCAAATTTTTATGTTGCATGATATTAGCGCAACTTATTATCAAACCCCAAAATGTAATGAAAAAATGCACCTACATGCCGCAAAACACAATGATATACCCATTTTTTTATAGAGTATGAAAGATGAGGTTACAACAAGTAAATGGATACCCAACATGCCCAGAATTAAAATTGTGTGCGTCTGTGAAACAGCGACAAAATTCAGCACCCCAAATTGTCCATAGGCAACGCTTTAAAAGGCCCTACAAGTCATTAGTTTAGAAATGCACATAAATATTGGTCCTAGAATTATTGCTCTCACTCCGACATGCGTGTCGATACCAAACATGTGTAGCGCGTTCATCGTATTTCATATGTAGTCGCACACGATGCGTGTTTACGTGAAGACGCGCATGCTCATGGGGCGGGGAACTTTACCACATTTTTTTTTGTATTTTTACATTTATTTAATTTAATATTTTTAAAAAACTATTTTCTTTTATTTTATTTTTTACTATACTTTAATTGCCATCACATAGCTTACAAGGTACTCTTTAAGGGGCTACTGGGGGTCCAAAAGACCCCTACTATCACCTTTCCACTTTAAATAAGCTATTGAAATGCAGATTGCACTTCAATAACTTATTGCTGGGCTTCAGGAGCCCAGCAACGGCATCTATGGGGCCGGAAGTGATGTAATTTGCATCACTACTGGTCTCATAGAGCGGGGAGATCGGCGAGTGGTCATTCGCCACTCTCCTCCCCAGCTTCCCTCCAACACCTGAGATGCCGCTCCTGGGTCCGCAGGAGGGGCAGCGGTGCATCTAGAACTAGATACAAGACCTATTATGTTCGAATTGTACACTGGGTTACCATGGGCTTATGTGTATGGAGAATTAGATTGGGAATTAAGTTTTCAAAAGAACAGATTTCCTTTTACAAAAACAAATTGTGGTGTTTTAAGTTTTTATTGCAAAAATGAAAACTGCGCCACAAGTTACATATCGTTGCGAAAGTCAGATTAAGAGCAACAATTCTAGTGCTATCAATCACTGCTATCACTAACTGATGAGTTGTAAGGCTTGACATGTTTGGTATCTATTTACCTGGCATGACCTAAACAATTTGGTATTATATTCTTTTTCTGTGCACCAAATTTCATTTTAGTGTATTTTTTCCTAAAAAAACTGATTTTGTTTAAACATTTGTGCAAATATTGTGCGACATAAAAATTTGCAACTACCATTTTTTTTTTTCTACAGGGCCTCTGCTTTCAGAAAATATATCATTGTTTGGGGGTCTGAAGCTCATTTCTAGCCAAAAATTCAGATTTTATCATGTGTGTGCAAATAGTAAGAAATTGCTCTGGCCAGGAAGTGGTTAAGGGCAGTGATGTAAGTGCTGGCACATTCAAGCATTGGTATGGCATTGTAATTTTCTAATTAGCCAAGCAGGACTTAAAAGGGAGACACAGACAAATGTCAAAATCTGTGACCCCAGTTACTACAAGAGCTACATTTATACTGGCAATATCACTCAAGCAACTGTTCAGCAGAACGCAAACCAAGAATTGCTTTGGTGGGCATATATTTTCAATCCATTTGGCAAATGGTAAGTTATAAAAAAAGATACACAACATTTCCCTACTCACAGAAGGGTTTACATCTACTTTAAAAGACCAGTCCTCACAAGCCTTACATTAATTTGTGCATATGCACTATATAAGCAGCACCCATGTTTTCCCTATCACAGCTAAGCAGCATCAATATAGATAATGAGATAGCCAACCTTTTATGGTAAGGGGACTAGCTTATCCAAACACACACCACTCTTTTTGACCCTTCTAGGCCATCTGATCAAAGTTCAAAGGCAAGGAAGTGCATTCTTGGTAGTTGGTTGCTATGGTGGCAAAGGCACTCATCAGTTCACTATTGGGTTAAATTCACCTTGACTCGAACACGAAGCTCATCCCTAACCCTAATAAGGACTATCAGATTACAGGGTGTGAGGAATTTTGCACTGTAATTATCTGTGTCCTGCACAGGTAAATAAAAGTAGGTTAGATGTTTGGGCCAAATAGTCCACATAGGGCTCGATGTGCATTCTGTAATTGTGAAAGTGAACCAGTAAAGGGTCTGTGAACTGAATCTGACCTGTGTAACAAGTCAGTGGTCTGCTGTGAACATTCCCTCATTCCCAATCCAACCTCAAAATTAGCCAAAATCAAATGATTTAGTCATTTATTCTGTTAGTGTGCACCCGTTTCCAGGATTTTAAAGCCCAAACAATAAACTGTTATATCTTACCTTAATGCCAGAACTATGAGCAAAAAAAGCTTCTGGACATTGAGAATGATAGAGTGCACCATGCCCCACACAGCCCCATGGTGCTCTTATTGTCAAGCTCCCACAGTTAAAAAGGTTACCAGATCTATATCGATACTTTGCAGCTTCATTTACAATCTGTAATGCAAAGAGTAAATTTCTATAGTCAAATAATTGCAAATTACTAACAAAAAACATATTATATACATACAATTTACACAACACCCACATTAGCTACAGTTATTCAGAAAGTGTCAGATAATGCAAAACAGTTATAAATTACTTAACACCATCATTATCAGTACAGTAATACCTTGGTTTACGAGCATAATTTGTTCTGGCAGCATGCTTGTAATCCAAAGCGCTTGTATATCAAAGAAAATTTCACCATAGGAAATAATGGAACCTTCGTGGCTAGTGTGAGGGAGACGAGAGAGAGGAGGATTATTGTGCAGGACCACTTTCACTATCACTAACGGAATCACTGCTATCTCTTGACTCAATGGAATCTTTTTCATTTCGTGAAACCTTAACAAGGAATCTATCCAATGTGACATTGCATTGTCGTTAAACAGACTCATCGCTCGCACTGCTACAGCCTTATTCGTGGTGCTTTTCTACAAAATGTTGCTCTTATTGCAAGTCATTGCTTGTATATCAAGGCAAACATTTTCAGAAAGGTTTGCTTGTCTTGCAAAACACTCGCAAACCAAGTTACTTGTAAACCAAGGTATTACTGTATAGCCTAAAGCCCCACAACAAATATAGTAGCGTCAATATGTGTAGGTGAATTCCATAAACGCTACTCATTTGTCTAAAATATTTTTACTTTTTTTTAAGACCATATAATGCTGTTATTTGTCGCACGGTTTAGATAAATACTGTTCTTTGATTAATGTTATTATTATTATTTTTGATACTTTTATAAACAAAATTGACAACATTGTAAAAAAATAAATACATGTTTTACATTTTATTTTAAATTTTAAACACAATTTTTTTCATTTTGTATTAAACTAGATTACACAAAAAAGGGGCTCCCAGGTTTATAAAATATTGTTTGGTATCTAATCTTTTTCATAAAGATATAATTAAGCAAGCCCACTTCCTGTTATGGTGACTGCAACAGACAAAACTGTAAGATATTCAACCCAATAAACCAAATAAAATTAGAAGAAACTGCATTGTACAAAAGTATCAGTTTTGTTTGACTTACACAGTCATTAAAATAATGCATAAAAGTAATAGAATACTTCCTAACCGTTTCATTACCAGATCTCAGTTAAGCATACACACCAACAACAAATTTAGCAGCGTCAATTTGTGTGGGATAATTTGACAATAGCCGACTCATTTGCCTACCTAAAACAGTTTTATTGTCTTTTGTAAGATCTTAGAAGACTTTTATTTGGTACATTGTTTAATTCCCAAAGACAAATGGACATGGGATTTGTTTTTTTTTTAACATTTATTTATATTTTAATACTATTAATTACAATTACAGTATATTAAATAGTCGCACTGGCATCTTTAGAGTGTAGCGACAACTGCAAGCTAAAAAGTTTTATTTTGTGAATAAACTTCCAGCCTACATGTAATCCCAATAACTGGCTGTCATGATGGTGAATATGGGATCTAATGAGTTCTGTAGTCTTACAGACAAAACAATCTAATAATCAAATAACATGAATTCAATTACAATAAACAACATTCTACCAAAGTATCTGCTTTATTATAAACCTATTCTGCCCGAAATAGAAAGGTAATTACCAAAGAATGTTAAAATATATTGTGTAGCAAGTATATATTAAAATTTAGGGATGTCCGTATACCAATTTTTCAAGACCGAGTACAAGTACTGCCTCTCATGTACTTGCCGATACCAATTACAGATACTTCTTAAAGGGACAGGTGACATTTAAAAAAAACAAGACTAATAATTTTAGGTCAATTTCTTTATGATTATGAAGAACTTTAATTTAAGACTGGTTTAGAACAATAAAACATTTAACCTATTCATGTTTTCAACCGCGATCGTGTGGGAGCGCCTAGGAGGTATTGCAGCAGGATTGCAGTGCAATCTGTTTGGCGCGAATGGAGTGCCATTAGAAAATATTCTAATGGCACTGCCAACGCGAACGGCGGTGGTGTGCGATTCCGTGACCAGCCAGCCATCCGCTCGGTTTCGTGCATGATGACCGGGCGGTCACGGATTGCACACCACCGCCGATCGTGCTGCCACTGCCATTATTTCCTAATGGCACCCCAGTCTTGCCAGGCAGATTGCGTGGTTTCCCGCCGCAGTACTGCCCTGCCTGTGAGGTTGCACACAATCACGGTTGAAAACACTGCGCGTTTATTCACATGCAGATGATGGGGGCAGCGGGGCTAGTTTTCATTTTTTCTCAATTTTTATTTACTTTGTAAAAAAATTTAAATTTCTATTTCTTTTATTATTTTTACTTTATCGCCTTTTTTAAAAAAAATTAAATTTTTAATTAGATATTCATTTTTATTGTATTATTTTTTAACTATTTTTTTCAGTTAACTTTATTGCTATCACACAGGGAATAACAAACCCCTGTGTGATAGCATTTGGAGGCGACAGGTACTCTTTATTGAACCGGTCACCTCCAACACAGGAGTTCTAGCACAACAATGTGCTAGAGCTCCTGTGACAGCAGCGGCCGGGAACAGAGGCTGAGGGAGGTGACAGAGCCTGTCACAGCTCCACGTGTTGGGCTCTGTCACCGCTCCACGCCCCCTGCTCTCAGCGCTCCACACCCCCTGCTGCTCTGTCACAGCTCCACGCCCCCTGCCGTCACCGCTCCAGGCCCCCTGCTCTCGCTTGCACGGAACTACATTTCCCGGGCGTTGGGTGATACGCAAGCATCGGCGTTATGTACCGAGGCATTTTCACTAGTACAAGTACTTGTGAAAATGCCTTGCATCGGTCCCGATACCCTACATCCCTATTAAAATTACTTTTAAGAAAATGTAAAACGTAATTAAATTACATATCGTTTGTCAAAGCGCTGTGTATTAAATAAACACAATGTTTTTTTCTGGGATTTTTAGCCTTGTATTCACCTTTTTTAGCCTTGTATCTCATTGTTGCTGATCTTCTGCAGGCTCTGTGCTACTAGGTCTACAAGCAACTAATTCATAATAATCCATCATGAGAATAGTTGTCAACTATTCTCATGATCGATTAGTTGGTTGGATCCCATAGCTCTCTCCTCCACACTGGGAGTAGAGCACAGCAAGCAGCGGCCGGGTGCAATAGCCAGCCTGCTATGGGCTATTGAAATTTGAAATGGCCAAAGCAGGCTGGCTATTGCACCAGCCCACTACCTGCTCTATTTACATTCAGCTGCCATCTGCGAAATCTTGCAACTGGCAGCTGTCATTCCCTGGCTGAAGATATCTTAAAATACATGTGCTTAAAATACAATTATTTAAAAAAAATTATAACAGGTGGGGGAAAAAATCATTTTCAGTTTCGGCCCGACAAATTCTTCTGTTGAAGGTGGGCTGAAGTGCCGTTCATATCAATGGCATCCCAAACGTGCCTCCCATCCACAGTGTGCTCACCAGCACTGGAACGCAAGGTACCACAAAGGCATGAGTGCAACTGCAAAAAATTGTGCATGCAGTTTTATTCTGAAGTGTACTTTATGATTGTAACACTCCATTTGTGTATTTTATTTTAAATGAAGCCTGGTAATTATGACAAAATTGTATCCGATTCATTGAAAAAATAATCAGCCACCTAATCAATTATAAAAATAATAATTAGTTCCTGCTCTATTTGCAACCACTTCCTGTCAACATGCATGCAATGGCTGCCTGGACTTCCCCAAGGAGGATTGTCTGATGGTGGCAATAATGTACCATGTCTATGTAATGTGTGCTAAAATGGCCCCTGATCTCTTTAGAAAATGCGTGTGACGGGGTAAGAACGCAGGGGTACAATTGAAAGTCAATAACAGAGAGCAGTATCATTTGATAACAGGAAGTGCAAATATGCTAAAAAGGAAATTCTGGTTTGAGACTCAACACTCGAAGATATTTAGATACAAAAATGAAATTGCACAGTTATGTGTTGGTGCAGAAAGATATCCTAGATAAAGCAGACACTGAAAATAGGAGTCATTTCCTAATTAGTTTTAACAGCTGTTTTGTGTTAGGCTAATGACAAACCGCAACATTTACATTCAGATTTCAATTTCCTAAGCAACTTTGCTACTGTAATTAAAAGATCTTGTTTCAAGGAAACAGTCAAGGTTGAAAAGAATTTAGTTCAAACAATTACATAAGGACCTGAACTAAGTTCAGTCAATAAATAAATGGAAAATGTCCCTGAAAGATGATAACGTTCCGGTGGACACTACCATGTGATCCAAACATTTCTTGATATTTGCGCTCAATAGTGAAGAGTACTACTCTCCTAAAGCTGGTTTCAACGGCTGTATATTTGACTATGTGTGCTTGTTCCTTTAGTGGGTAATTAAGAATGTTAAAGTGACACTAAACTCCGGAGTTAAAACTTCAAAATACATTCAAGTACCTTAACTATTAACATAAATGTATCTTATTTGTGTATCACTCAAGTGGCTGTAGATCCTCAAATTATCTCTGAATTGGTGTTGACATTGTCTTTTCTTCTGGAGGGTGGATACTTTTGTGTGTGATGTATAGTAGCCACCACTCCAAGCTCGCTCCTATGATGGACTAGAATCACACGTTTAGTTTACTAATTTGCACCGAGATTGTAGACAAATAAGCTACATTTTAATAGGTAAGGTTTTTGAATGTATTTTTAAGATTTAATTCCTGGGTTTACTGTTACTTTAATGTTAATGGAAAGGACACACATTTTGCTGGACAGACAGGTTCACACAAAGGTAAGAGACACGTATGGGTGAGGGGGATGGGGGGACTCCACAAATTAATGGAGTCAAGGCATGTATGACAGGATGAGGGCCTGCAGGTGTCCTGTTGGAGAGTATAAAGAACACAGAATATGTCAGCAGGCGGTTCTATAGACAGCTGGAATATGGCTGTGGCTCGAGCACAATAAGTGCTTTCTTCTTTGCAAAGTGTGCCGTATTTCTGTCATCCAGTGTCCGCTTATCTTGTCTTCTACTGCACATGCTACACAAACTTTTTTCTGTGAGCTGTACAAAATATCCCTCAAAACATTTCTGCAGCTGTTCACTGTCTCGCATGTGGGAACATACAGTGAAGGAGTGTGGGAGCTGCATATGGTAAGAGTTAGCCACAAGGTTTCATACAGGCTGGAGGGGTGGGGGAGTAGATACATACTGTATGAATCAAATTCAATTTAGATTTTCCAAAGCCCAGGAATGGAGAAAAGAAAAAAATATTTCAATAGAAAATGTTCAGGCCAATATGTTGCATTGCAGTGTACAGAAAAAATAAATCTTGTAAAGCGATTTTTTGTGTGCATAGTCCTGCATTTCACTATTCCAAGTCAATGCAAATAGAATAGCTAAAAATGCAAGTTATTGCTATGGAGCATGGCAAATAAAGCAACAAATTGTCCTGCTGGTGAGGGAACACCAATCCTGCGCTATTTGACCCTTTCTAGCCACAGTTTAATGTGGCATCATATTCACCCAGAGGTGCTGAGGGGTTCAAGGAAGTAAGTACTTTACTGGAAAAGAGCTGGCTTTGCAGTTCTTTCCAGGTTTTCTGGATTTGGCATGGGATCCTGGAACCAGGAGATTTCAAAGAGAATTGGGAGGGATGAAATATCCATTCCTGGGTCCATGGTTTAGTAGTGGCCAGCACCTTATGATTGCACACCTGTGCCCAGACCTTATTGAAAGGGTGCTGGCTAATGTTCAGGGCTCTGGCTGGGAAGAGGAACTGATTGTGTTCAGGAGTCATGCAAACCTTATGATTGCACACTTGTGCCCAGACCTTATTGAAATGGTGCTGGCTAATGTTCAGGGCTCTGGCTGGGAGGAGGAACAGATTGTGTTCAGGAGTCAGGAAGATTCCACCCAGAAGTGAGAGTGGAGCCAGGTGGCTGTGTGTGTTGGAGGCACATGAGAGACAGCCAAGGAAGTCTTAGAGAGCCAGTGACACATGACGGATGTGTGGAAGAGTCACATGAGAATTCTGGAGAGTCGTTGGGAGCCACTAAACAGTATTGAGCACTGCGGTGGCCGGTGGCTTTGTTGAGGGAAACCCTAAAGTCTTGGGACTGGGACACATGAAATGTATGTGACATCGTTGAGTCAGTGAGACATTGAAATACGTTCTGGTTGCTGAAAGTCAAGCGGACCTTGTGTTGTATTACTGAAGAAAGCAGTTTTCTGTTATGGATTTAAAAAAAGACTGTCCTTTTTTTATGTTGAGCTCCTCAAACATTATATATTACATACACAGAAGAATAATTGACCCATAATTTACCATAAAGGAGTGTTCCCCAAATATTTATAAGGACAGTTACAAATAACATTTTGGGATGCAACCCCCTTTCCCATAGGTTTGCTATAACACATAACATAGCATAACACATAAAACAACAGAAAAGTAAAAAGAGTTAGAATTTTCTTTTGTGATTTTGTACTGTATATTCATTACAGACATGCCAGATGAACAAACCTGATCAAATGCTGGAAATATGTAGTCTGCAAACTGGATCTCAGCAATGGAGGTAGCGCCAGCAACTGCAACTCCGATGCCAAATCCAACAATTCCCTGTTCACACAAGGGAGTGTTGAAAACTCTGTCTTTACCTGGAAAACAAATTCAGTAACTGACATACTGCTTGTTAAAGTGATCTGTTAGACAATCTAGTTAGACTTGAATACAAACATGAATCACTGCCGGCAGAAGGAAACCCAACTTTGACAGAGTACACAAAGAATCAGGAGAAGAAAGAATGTGTCAGTTATTACCAGGCTTTGTAAATAGTGAAGTGCTGGGGCAGACTGCCACATTCTATCATGCAGCACTTTGCAGCTCTTTGTATCAGGGAAGCAGGTTATTATTCCCATAAGCCAAACTGGCCTGGTATGCTTAATATTTCATATACCCAGAGACACAACCAAGTGCAATTCCTCAAAGCTAAATTGCATGTTCCATTTTTCAATACCAAGGAGTAAGAAAGAGAAACCTGTAGAGAGCTTCAATAAATTCTCAAATTAAACACTGATTTCAATGTTGAAATTAAAAAAAGGCTCACCAAGAAAAAAACTGCAGTGCAAAAACACACCTTGGATTTTAGATGTGATCTTGCTGCAGTTAATAAAAGGGAGAAAAACACTAATCTTAAAACAGCACAATTATTGAAATGCCAAATGTAAATGCTTGGCTAAGCTTAGCACCTGTGTTGATAAAGACAGCTGGTCATGCAGATATCTAAAAATGTTGGAATTTTGTCTAACCTCTGATATCCATGGCTAAATTTAGTGCAGTGTTCCATGGAGATCATCTTTTCTGGAGCTTGTCATTTTGTTATTATTTATAGTGACACTCAAAGCCAAAGGCTCGATATACAGTACAAACAAATATTTGGACGCTGATTAATCCAGCACGCCTCCGTGTTATCAATAATAAGAAAGTGCATTTCCTGCTCCCTAACATGTTATGGACGGACTTTGCACTAAACAACATCCCACCGAGGCCTTCTTGCTCTGTCTGATGGGTACAATGCCTGTTACAATTGTTTTTTTTGTATTATGTTACCCTGATACCTTTTCCAATTTTACCTGGAAACTAAAACTTTTTTTTACCACTACTACAAGAGATTCCCTGTTGGAAAATGCTTTCATGGATCCTAAGTGTCTACTTCCCTCCCTGAGCATTTTTTTTGCCTTGGGAATTTCTCATTTACAACCACCTGACACTGGATGTTTCTTCTTAGTCATCACACAGGCCAAGAATTCCTCCAGAACTTCCTATGAAAACCTAATGCTAACTGTCCTCCCTTAAAGTTAGGTATACCGAACATTTTTATTACAATTATTGAATAGTGTGCTATCATTAATGTGACTCACTGTAACTGCAAGAGGCCACTAGATGCCGGTATTATAAACTTCAACACTAGTTCCAGTTACAACAAAACTTCTATACCCAACGTCAGATTTGACTTTTTCTCCCCTTCATATTTGCAATGTTACATTTAGGGTTCTAAGGCAATCTTAGAGATTACATCTATTGCATATTCTACATTTCAATAGCTCCCATTAGGTCAAACTATCTACACACCTGGGTTCTGTTTAAACAGGTATTAGATGTGTGCACCTGATTTCCAATTGTTGGATTATTGTTGTTCATTAGGGTTACCTGGTTGGGCAACAGCTCTCACTTGTTATATATTTTTGTTTAGGCCACTATCTATTCTGTACGCTTTGGTATCACAAGATTTTATAACCGGTTTCCTATATCATTAAATATTTTCCATGTTGCTATATCCTTCATGGCACAATTCTGAGGCCTGTAAACTCTGTATATGGGACTTTAACATGCTATTAAACCCAGTAATGGACAAACAGGGCAGCTCTAAGCTTCCTTCTGTACCTTGCACTACCACTTATCAACAACTAGTTAGAGAGCTGGCCTGGATTTATCTTTGAATACAATAATTCCCAGATGCTAAGGCATTCTTGTGTTTCTAATCTGACAGAGATGAATAGTCTTGTATTAATCTATGAATAAATAAGGGATATTTTAGAAAATTAACTATGTTGGACTTTATAGCTTACATGACAAGAGGTATCTCTGACCATTAGCCACTTTTCCAACATCTAGCCTTTCATTCGGCAGGCCCAAGTGGAAAATCCACCAATTTGGTTTAATCTGATGGGGCATAACAATCACATCCCAGATCAGCTACAATTTTTCTTAGAAGCACATAAAGACCCTACTTTCAATAATACCTTTCGGGGTGCATTAAATGCATTTCTTTAGGGTGTGCTTAAATCCACCATTTCTTTTTATTAAGAAATCCTCTCCCAGGCCAAAGAGGAACTAGTCAAAGCCACTGATAACACTGAATCTCTTTTACTAGCAAGCCCCACTGAACTGTACTGTATGGCTTGGGAGAACGTGTCAGGGCTATGTATGACCAGGTTACACGAGTATGTTAAATGTAAACACTACTTTGAAAAAAAAGTATTTTGAGCATAGCAACCACTACCCATGGTTGGCCTATTAGCTTATATTGCTAAGCAGCCATGACATCCTACCTCATTTTTAAAATTCATAGTGCAGAGGATTCAATTGTCACTGATGCTGAAGGTATACTGAATCTTTTCTTTGAATTCTATAGACAAATGTATGACTGCTTACTAAAACGCAAGATTCAATCTTATTTAGGGGCACTAGAGTTCACTCAAAAGTTAACTTCCCAGACACAGCTGTTGGACAAAGAAATCATATAGGATGTTTCCACTATTAAAGCATCAGGCCCTGATGGGCTACCTTTGGAAGTCTACAAAAGCTATTTGGGTATTATTGCTCAGGTCTAAAAATAGATCTATAGAGAAGCTTTTACACATGGGACTTTACCAATAAGTATGTATGATGTGACTATTGTACTTTTGTTAAAACCTTATAATGACCCTGCGCAGTGTATCTTCTATAGATCCATTTCTCTATTAAATCTTTATTATAAAACATTTTAAAAAATATTGGCTACTAGACTGAATACTCTATTATTCATAAATATTAAACACGCTATATGGATAGGCAACCACAAATATTATCCACTGGACCCAAATTATGGCCCAACTAACATGATACATTCTTTAGATACTGTCAAGGCATTTGATTCGAAATGACCCTTTTTACAAGCTTGAACTGAATGTTTTGGTCCAAATTTCCGAAAATGGATGACCATTCTCTACACCCACCCGAAGTCTTACATACTGTTTAATGGCCTAATTTCCCCATCCTTTTCTCTTAAGTGTATTTGCACCTATTTTATATGTGTTACATGCTCCCATTCACATAGCATGAGCTGGGAAAAAAATGCTTCCTGCAGTTTAAATTGCTTTTACTTGGGCCAGAGTTTAAGGGTTAAAATTTCAACTTCTTTTTTGTAAAGTTAGGAGGGACTGTGAGGGCTTTGTTCATTATAATTTGCAAAGGTGGTACAGGACCCGCCCCCTCACTGTAAAGCCCGTCGGCAGTGCGGGGCCCCGGTGTTCGAACACCGGGACCGTGCACTGCCATATATTGCATGACCGGACCGCACTGAGACTGTGCGGCCCGGTACCATTTGATCCGCGGACCGGTACCGGTCCACGGACCGGGGGTTGGGGAACACTGGTCTAGCCAGTAACACACGTCCTGTCTTAGGGTGGCTCCACTCCATGCAGGGGCAAGGTCACCTGTTAACCTCTAAGCCACTGTGTGGCTCAGAAAAAGGACTTTTTTTTTTTTAAAGAACTGAGGAAATGTTTTATTAACCCTTGCAGTGGGGCTACCCCCACATTGCAAGGGTTAAGTGCTCGTTTTTGTCTAGGTGCTAATACGCAGCCTAACTGCTGAGCCAACTCCCTGCTTCTCCGGTCACTGAAGCAGGTCTCCTCCTCTGCTGCACAGATAGAATGTTCCTCACGTCTATACACTTGTACAGAACATGACGACAGGGATTTTTAGACCACTGCAGAGGAGGGGGAGAGAGGCTCTAGAGACCAGTCTAGGAACAAGCAAGCTCAAATGATCGGGTGAGTATAACTATTTTTTAGCACCTAGACACAAATGAGCACTTAACCCCTGCAGTGTAGGGGTAGCCTTCTTTAAAATATATTGTATTTTGAATTTTTACAAGTATAGAAAATAATATCAAGATATGGGAAGAGTAATTCCCCAATGGGTTTTATTTTAAATAAGTGTCAGCTTACTGAAATGTTACAACACAATCATAATTTTCATGTAATAGACAACAGCACTTTTTGCTCAAAAAAGGTATTTAGCATTAGATAGCAGATTTTAAATGCCTGATATTTTGACAATAATCAGCATTATACTACAATACATAGAACAACCAGAGACAATGGTTTAAACAATTCAGTAAATAGCTTACTATTCTTTTGTATAAAACCAGAGTAACGAGGCATATCGTTTTTATATTTCTTTGAGGAAGGTAATACCCTAATACTAATACTGTAGGCAGCCTTCACAGTCTACACCATTTACTGCACACTTCAATGCCAAGAAATAATTGGCTTAACTAGCCCCGATCACACACACACACACACACACACACACACACACACACCACCAAAGAGCAACCACCTCCTCTATGCCTGAATTGGCCACAGCCCACGCCACTCTTTACATCCCTCAGCTGAAATCGTTTTTTCCCCTGGCCATGCCTCCAAAGTCATTTTCCACAGCCCTCTATGGGACCATCTTTTAGCACAGGAGCCACTTAGGATAAGACTCACAGAAGTCTATGGGGGTTCAACTGCCCCAAGTGTGGCCAGGGAAAAATCAAAACCTCTACCCGAATTTAGGATTTCCCCAGGCCACAGCTGTACTCTCTTAAAGGAGAACTATGGGGCAACATTTGTATTTCCATAGTACTGTCGAGATCCACCCAACTGGCTGATTGACAGCTGTGCCCGCCCCCTCCCCGTCCGTCCCTCTAGTCAGCACTGGAGGATAGTAGAGGAGGGGGGAATCCCTGCAGGGAGAAGATCGGAAAGTAAGCGGATCGACGGTATGTTTTCGCTCACTTCCCGATCAATAGAGCTGATGTGTGACATTTTAAATGTCACACGTC